AATTAATTTTTAATTTATAAATAAAATTAAAAACTATAATAATTTTCATAAATATCTATAGGAAAAGTATATATATATATAATACAAATATAATTTTGAAGTTGTTAATAATACTTTGAACATTTTTCTTATTTTTATATTTGATTCATTATTTTTTTTTTTAATTTGCAATGCATTAAGCAATTTCAATAGAGTTAAATAAATATACATAAAATATTTACAAGTATTTGAAGAGGAGAAAGCGCAGCTTGATTATTAGTTATAGAGTGAATTTAATTATATACAAGAGATATAATAAAAAAAAAACTAGGTGAGAGGTAAAGTAATTTATTTACAATTAATTCAAAATAAAAAAAATAATAATAGGAAAAAGTAAATGAAATGACATACGCACTTTACATTTATATCACATGATAATTTGTTCGTTTTGTTGTTGTAAATTATTTATTTCGATCAAAAAATTTTGAAACAACAAGAAACTTGAACTCTACGGCTTTTCAAAAAAAAAAAAATACTTTTTTTCTTCAATTATTTATTGCACAAAAATGTTGCTCCGCAGTATAACGCGAAAAGCTGGAAGCTTACTGGAACCACCCATTTATATTCTTCACACCTTAAGGAATTTGTCCATTCATACGCATTTCCAGCTCTTCTTCTTCCTTTGTCAGTGGTACAGTAGTGTGATTGTATAGACCCTGTGCCATCAATTGTAATGCTAAAGGATTCTTTGATCCTGTGGATTTTTTAATTTTAGCACGTTTGTTCTGGAACCAAATTTTTATTTGCGCTTCATTCAAGCCCAATTCTGAGCTCAACTGTTGGCGTCGACGCTCGGTGAGGTAACGATTTTCATTGAACTCACGCTGCAAGTAGAGAAAAGAAAGGAAAAGATTTTAGTTTTTTTTTCTTCTTATTTATTTTTTTTCTTGTTTTTGTTTTGGTATGAAAAATATGCAGAAAGAATCAATTATTTGCGGTTAAAATAAAAGAAAGGATAATGTCAGGTTAGGAATTGAAAAGAGGCTAGAATATATGACCATAACTAATTCCCAAATTGGATGCATGTTACTGATATGTTGTTGAGACATACATCATAGATTCGAAGATAGGCAAAATAGTAAGAAATTGTGGTTTCTTATATGTGAAGAAGGAAGGAAAAGAAGACTCTCTATATTGAATGCTACGCAAAAGAGGATCAAAATCTTAAAAAATCACAAAGCAAAACGACGGGTGGCAGACGAAATGAGTGTAAATATTGTGGCATTTATGGAGGTGGGATTTTTTGACTCCTATCGTTTTATTGGCACTTAAAAATATTTAAAATGTAGTTGTTGTCATAAAAGATACTTCCTTCAAAAATAAATTGATGTATGTAAGAGAAAAAATTTAGTTTACTGTTTATGATGTTTGGAAAACAAGATAATAAAAACAAAAATTAAAATTAAAATTGTTTTCAGATGTGATGTTTTGACATGTTTATTAAAAATATGTACTTTCAACTGAAATTTTACTCTTTAAATGTAAAATGCAATTAAAACAAAGAAATAACAAACTGATTCAGTAATTAAATTCAGTAATTAAAACGTATTTATTAGCATTTTGCCAAAGATGTTGTAGAGAATGCTTTACAGCACAGATTGTTTTAATAACAAACATATTATTTTATACATAAGTTGGCACGGGAATCTATCAAAATCAAGCAGTAAGCCCACTAAGATTTTGACAAAGCCTAGTAGGTTTAATAATATACCAATATAATAATAATAACAATAAATTGGTTATGCTATAATTATTATATCAGTTATATGTTAAAATATAATTGAAGAAATTTATAGGTTTCAATTCATTGGTTGTCACGGAAATCTATTAAAAGTGTCAAGCAAAAATATATACAAGAAACATCAATTAATATCACCATATTCAATATTTTGCATCACCAAAACACAACTGATATTTGGTAGTATTGTTTTTATTCTCAAAATTTAAACAGGAGTTGTTTGTGTAATTCCTTAGTGATTGTCGATGAGCATTGCTTCGCACGCTACAAATCAAAAATTTTCCCGTTAACCAGTCCTCATTTTGATAATAATTACTTGTGTGAATTCTCTTATTAAAAATTTAATAAACAAGAAGGAAAAGGCAGCATAGTTCAGTTTTTCCACCAATGCAACATTAAAATAATACACCATATAAATACCAGCCGCAATAGGGAATGATAGGACATATTTTAAGGACACCATCTTAAGAAATTTGTCAAGTACTAGACTAAAGTCTATAAGTATATAGAGGAGAAAGATGATAAAAAATTATGGAGCACCATACTGTAGTATGTGAGGCTGAAGAAACATACACTTTTGGAACAAGTTGAAGCGATTCAGTTATAAACCAAGTTGACGATAGTAATGCTCATACGTATATGATATATGCATCATAATAATATGATAAGTGCATCATAATAAAGAATTGTGCGAAGTTGAAAAGTAAATAATGTGTTTGAGCTTCAAGAAGTTAGAAAAACCAAATATGATACTCATATTAAATGTATAAAGAGAATATTGATACTATAGACATATACAACTTGAATAGCGAATTATGTTCTTCACTTCAAGAATTTAAAGCAGCCTAAGATGATATATTAAGTAGAATAGAATATTGTGAAAAGTCAATTAAGAAATGATATTTAAAACGAATATGTATACAAAAATGGTTATATGCCAGGAATCGCTTTACTAAACTTGTCATATATTGTTGTAATTATTCTTTGCTCTATTTTTATAGAGCACTTAAACCAAGTACCTTAATTGGTTCTTAAGGTACTGTGTGCCTATACTTGTTTCGGCATATATTTTTTAAATAAATCTTCACTGTTAATGTTTAATACTATATTTTTGGAATTTTTAATTTTTACTCTGAATATTTCTGTAGCGGTTATTAGATCTGTAATAATATTTTATTTTAATATTTGGTACTTACTTTTAAACGCGCTAATTGTTCACTGGAGAAGGCGGTACGCGGTCGTTTTTCATCATTATTTTTGTCTTTTGGTTGCTTGGGGCGTCGGTAACGGGGTCCTGAAAGAAAGAACATAATAAAAATTATTACAAAAACATAATTTAAAAGTTATTAATAATAAAAAATTTTAAATTAATATTTAAAATATAATTAAAATTATTTTTTATTTTTAATAAAATTAATTAAATGTGATTTTCATAATCTTAAGTCATTTTGAGTTAAAGACAGATTTATTTTAATTAGACAGAAAATATTTGAAGGCAAGGAATTTTATTTTAAAAATTAAAAATAAATTTAAAACTAATTTTTAAAATAATTGACCTTAAGTAATTATTTAATAAAATGATTATCCAATTTTTATAAAATTGAACGCAATTAAATATATTTAATTTTGATTACATTCTTGAGTTTTAAGGGCAGATTTTATTTAATTTAAACGGAAAATATTTGAAAGCAAGGATTTTATTAAATAAAATATTAAATATTTTATTCATTTAGTATATACTTATAAAGTTTTTCATGACATTCATATATATAAATATTTATATACATATCAATTTTAAATTGTTTCTCTTATTTTCATGCCACTTTCATTTCGCTTTCAACTTTTATTTAATTAAACATTTTCACTCCCACCATGTCAGTTGTCAACTTGGTGCAAGCCCATTTGTACAGTACGAAAGAAAAAACATTATATTAAAATCATTTAAAATGTATACAGTAATAAATGCAGCTCTATGTGCATATATTGTTTTGTATATGAAATATACATAATAAAACATTTATTTTATTTCATGATTTTTCTTTATTTCTTTTGTTTTTGCAACGCCTTTTCACAGCTTTTGTATTTTAATTAAGTCTGCAAATCAACAACAAAGACAGCGACGACATTTTCTTCTATTAATTTGCGTTTTTTTTTAAATATAAATAACGTAGTTTATTATATATATTTTTTATATTCTTTATTGTTTTTGTGTTCTTTGTATTTTACTCTTTATCTGCACATTTGATTTATTAATATTTATTTAAGCATTTGACATTTGCAACGCGTCAAATTTATCAAAGTTGCTAAACGTAGTATGAAAAAACTATTTTCCACATTTATGCTAATTAATTAAACTAATGATTTAATTAGCATTTTTTTCTGTGTATTTTACGTTGCTATTAAAAACAAGGAAAAAAGAAATATTTTAATAAAATTTTATAGGCACAGAAATCTTATTAAAAGTACAGGGAAAGACAGCGCAGAATACAGGTTGAAACGCCACAACTAATTTGTCAGCTGTCAAAATTTTCATAGCAGCTAATAAACGGGAGAATATGGCGGACACACGGACCAGGGTTGTTGTTGTTTTTTTCTGTTTTGTTAAGGCATGCCCGGCGTGGTGCTCTCTACTGTGGTATGTCGGGCCTTGCGTGGCTTTACTCGGTGCTTGTTAATTCGTAATATTGTTAATTAATGTGCCTTTTATTTCGGCTGACCGAATTGCTTTTGGTTGGTCTATCACTCAGAGAGGTTCGATTTGGTCTGGTTTCGTTGCATTTCATAGCAAAATTTTCTGATCATTTAAATGAAAAGTGTTTTTCATTTATATTTTCTTCTTTATTTATTAAATTTTATTTGAGTATTTTTTTTGTTAATGTTATGTATAAATCAACAATATTTTTGTTATTTAATTTGTACAGAGTTAATATTTAAAATCAACCGTTCCCAAAAATGGTCGTACGTTGCAACTTCACTTGTCAAGTTTTTGAGGAATTTCAGTTACTTAATTATATCATTAAAACAATTTATTATTTTTTTTTTTTTTTGAATTTTATCAAAATTATTACACTCCATAAATAATTATTTCACTTGAAAAAGAAAATATTTCATTTTTTTACATAATTTTTTAATGAAATATTTACTTTCAAACAAGTTTTTATTAAATTGCTTACAATTTTGTCGTTTATAAACGTTAAATTTTTTTTAAACAATAAATTAATTTTGATATTTCGAAATTCAAAAATTTATAAAATAATTTTTAAAATTTTTTAATTATATTTTTATTTATATTATATGCGTATGAAAACATATGTATACCGTATTCATCATTATCATATATAAATATGATATATTTATATTATACATCAATATAATATATATAATAATTATCATATTTGTACTATTTATGTTATTTATTTCTTTTTTACAATGTTCTTTTTGAGTATTCTAACGTAATATTATTTATATTAAATAAATTATTTTAAAATATAAATATATAAATATAAGACAAAAAAAAAAAATATTATTTTATATTAATATTTAAGTTTTATGTTCAAATGTTTATGTATAACAATTAACACATTCTATTTAAGTTATTCATCTATTTTTCGATTAATAGA